AGGGTCTGTGAGAACCTGTAGTTCTTCCAGGCTTTATATTCTGTTCATTGGTCTGTTGATTTAATCCTGCACTGATAATTGTCTTCATAAACAGTAATTAATTAGGCTTAATAGTGTATAAAATGCTCACCTTGTTCTTTATTTTCAAAATGACCTGGACTGGTTTTGTTCATCTGCATTTTCAGTTTATAATTCACTTGTCAATGTTCACAGAAGTTGTGGGGATGTTTATTGATATTGTATTTAATCTATCATTCAATTTGTTTGGAATTAATGATTTTATGATGTGTTTTTACTCTAGGATTAAGGCATGTTATTCACTGCTATGGTCTACTTTATTGTCTGTTAAAAATTGTGGGGATAGGGCCCAGTGGCGTGGCCTAGTGGCTAAAGTCCTCACCTTGAACGCGCCAGGATCCCATATGGGTGCTGGTTCTAATCCTAGCAGCTCCACTTCCCATCCAGCTCCCTCCTTGTGGCCTGGGAAAGCAGTTGAGGGTGGCCCAATGCTTTGGGACCCTGCACCCATGTGGAAGACCTGAAAGAGATTCCTGGATCCCGGCTTGGGATCGGCGCAGTACTGGCCGTTGTGGTCACTTGGGGAGTGAATCATCAGATGGATGATCTTCCTCTCTGTCTCTCCTCCTCTCTGTATATCTGACTTTGAAATGAAAAATAAATAAATATTTGGAAAAAAAGAAAAAAAATGTGGGGATAAAATTCACCACTTCAATTTTTTAGTTGTAAAATGTACATTCATCATAGTTGTCACTGTAAGTGTGCAATTGATGCCTTCTGTTTCATTTGTAATGTTGTATAACCATCACCAATATCTAACTTTGGAACATTTCTATCACAACTCTCTGAAAAAAGCCTGTATCTTTTGAGCAATTACTTCCCCAGTTGATAGCACCCTCTGCTTTCTGTTTTAGAGATTTTGCCAGGGATTCTTGAAAAAGGTTTGCAGAAAATGAAATAGAAAGATAACTTTATTTTGGTGAAAAATATTTAGAAAGTCATCTATGTGTGGTTCCTTTCAAAGTTGGAGAAAAGTACATGTTGTGGGGGAAAAAAAAACCTATCCATGGATTTCAAAATTTTTGTACCAAATTTTTCTTGTTTTAAGCACTTTTGCAGATTTTTAATTTTTAACTTTTATTTATTATTTCAAGAAGCTAGAGCTGATATTATGGTGTAGCTGATGAAGCTGGCACCTGTAGTGCCAGCATTCTGTGTGTGTACTGGTTCAAGACTTGCTGTTCCACTTCTGATCCAGCTTCCTGCTAAAGGCATCTGGAAAAGCAGATGATGATGGTCCAACTGCTTGGGCCCCTATACTCAACTGAGAGACCTCAAAGGCGCTCTGAGCTTCTGACTTCCTCCTCGCCAGGCGCAAACTATTGGTAGCCATTTGGGGAACCAAGCAACAGATGAAGGATCACGGCCTCCCTCTCTTTTTAACTCTGCATTTTAAATAAATAAGCAAATCCTTAATTTGAGAGACACAGCTGGAAAGAGCACTTACCACTGTTGGTTCCTTCCCCAAATATCCACAACAGCTAGGACTGGGCTGGGCCAAAGCAAGGAGCCTAAGGACCCAAACTAGGTCTTCTGTAAGGTGTGGCAGTTACCCAGCTGCTTATAGCATCACTGCTGCTCCCAGGATGTGCATTAGCAGGAAGCTGGAATTGGGAGCAGAGCCAAACCCTGAACCTAGTTACTCTGAGATGGGGTGCAAGCATCAAAAGTGCCATTTAAACTGGTAGACAGAATACCTGCCCATAAACTTATAGTTCTCTTTTCCACAAACTTTTTGAAGTACACTCATATAAACAAAATCATACAACATACATGCCCTTCAGTGTCTGGTTTCTTGAACCTTGTATAATACCTTTGAGCTTCCTTGAGTATCAGAACCTCATTGCTTTCTGTGAATTGTGTGGGCTTACCACAATCTTGTTATGGATATATGTCACATTAATTTATTGCTTTATGAATATTAATAAAATTCTGTAATTTTTTGAAAGATTTATTTTTATTGCAAAGTCAGATATGCAGAGAGGGGAGAGACAGAGAGGAAAATCTTCTGCCCGATGATTCACTCTCCAAGTGACTTCAATGGCTGGTGCTGCACTGATCCCAAGCCAGGAGCCAGGAACTGCCTCCAGGTCTCCCACAGGAGTGCAGGGTTCCAAGGCTTTGGGCTGTCCTCTACTGCTTTCCCAGGCCACAGCAGGGAGCTGGATGGGAAATGGAGTAGCTGGTATTAGAACCGTTGCCCATATGGGGTCCCAGTATTCAATGCTTTGGGCTTTAGCTGGTAGGCTACTGCACCAGAGGGCCCTAAAAATTCTATAATTTTTTTAAACAAAACTGCTTGTATTAGAATATTCCATGGCGAACATTTTCAAAAATCTTCTATTTTTATAAAATGCCATTTTGTTTACTGCTGATATTTATGTGTTTATGTCATTGATATATTTTTTAATATCCTCTAGTCCGGATTTGATAACCTGCTTTAGTAATTACAAAAATTTGGATTCTTTTGAGCTTTACTGCTTGTGTGAGCCTAGTGACCAGAAACCCTCTAGTGCAGTGTAGCACGCAACTTTGACATACCCCTGGTCCCACAGGACAAGTAGAGCTCTGCATCACCAAATATGAGATGTGTTACAGACCTAAGCCTTTGTCTTAGCTGAAGCCTTACAATCTAGAAGGGGTGGTTTTTCTTTTTAATTTTCATTTTGATGAAGTGTTTAGATGAACTCCTGACAGCCCTTGTCTGTACTTTTGGTAACCTTGAGATATGGCTGTTGAAGTCATACTGACCTGCTTCCAAATACGGCTCTTCTGTACACTCATGTGATTTTGGTCAGAATTGTAAATCCTTTTAGGGCAGACCCTGTATTATTTGGTCTGTATCCTCAGCTCTAACTTAATTCCTAGTGTATTTTAGGAGCTTAATTTAGTATTTTGAAAAAACAAATTTATTTGAGTGTTGACTTCCTCATTTATAAAATATAGATAATCCTATAAAGCATTTGTTAAGATTATTTTTAAAATAAAACTCATAACATCATTAACCTATAAAAAATGCAAATTAATTTCCTTCCCTTGAGACTTGTATTTAGCTGATTGCATTAGCAATATTTTTTTCTACTTTTTTAGATTTTATTTACCTGAAGAGAAACTTACGTAGTTATATATATATTTGTGAAAGTTGGAACTTTTTTTAAAAAATTTATTTTTATTACAAAGTCAGATATACAGAGAGGAGGAGAGACAGAAAAGATCTTCTGTCCGATGATTTTCTCTCCAAGAGGCTGCAAAGGCCAGTGCTATGCCGATCCCAAGCCAGGAGCCAGGAACCTCCTCCAGGTCTCTGATGCGGGTGTAACATCCTAAGGCTTTGGGCTGTCTCTACTGCTTTCCCAGACCACAAACAGGGAGCTAGATGGGAAGTGGTGCTGCCGGGATTAAAACTGGTGCCCATATGGGATCCCAGCATGTTCAAGTTGAGGACTTGGGACCAAAAGTTGAAACTTTTAGAAATTTTATTTAAAAGAATTACAAAGAGAGGGAGAGACAGAGATCCTTCATCCGCTCATTCATTTGACTACAGTGGCCGGCACTGGGCCAGGCTGAAGTTAGGAGCCAGGCACTTCATCTCAGTCTCCTACATAAGTGGGAGGGACCCAAACACTAGGGCCATTTTCTGTTGCTTTTCCCAAGACATTAGCAGGGAATGAGATTGGAAGTGGAACAGCTGAGACTTGAACTGGCACTCCTTATGAAATGCCAGTTTTAAAGGAGGTAGCTTTATTCAGTACACAAAGCATTAGCCCCATTAAAATCCAACGTTTTAAAGAATTCAGATGCTTAAGAGTTTTCATTGTGGGGTCTGGAGTGATAGCATAGTGACTAATCCTTGCCTTGTATACACCAGCATCCCACATGGGTGCCGTTTCATATCCCAGATGCTCTGCCTGTCATCCAGCATCCTGCTTGTAGTCTGGGAAGGCAATAGAGAATGTCCTGTAGCCTGGGGCTCTGCATCCCCATGGCAGACCCGGAATAAGCCCCTGGTTCCTGGCTTTGGATTGGCTCAGCTCTGGCCTTGCAGCCACTTGCAGCCACTTTGGGAGTGAACCAGAGAAGATATTGCTCTCTGTGTTTCTTTCTATATATCTCCCTTTCCAATAATAAATAAATAAAAAATTTTAAAAAGTTTTCCCTGTGGCTGGTATATGTTCTGATGGCTTTGAGATGAGATGAAGAGAATATGGATATGATCTGGAATGAGCTGTTTAATTACAAAAACCTCGAGGTTGTGTAGCATGTTCCATTCAATTCATCAATTTTAAGGCACAGTGCCAATGTGATTTTAAATGAAATTAGTGACTTCTGTGAACACCTGCAATGCTTTGATATATTTGTTTTGAGCAACTGGGTGATCGTCGTTTTGTTAATCCTATGTGTTTTTATTTTTCATCTTCACTTTTGCGATTCTGATAGCTCAATTTTATGGAATATTGATGAAGGATGGTTTGAGTATCACCGCCAGTTCTGTTGAATTTTTGAAGAAGATATGATGCTTCGGTACCCCCTAGGAGGTGTAGTAGAACCTCCCATGACAGAACCATACCTTTCAGTGTGCAGAATAACGTGAGTGGAAAGAGCAGTGTGAGCAGAAGATAGGTTCTCCAGAGGCAGCAGTGGATTCATGTTTGCTTCTGACTGTGCTGTTAGACTTAGAACTCAGCATCCAAGGCTTAGATGAGTGTTTCATGGAGGGAATGCAGGCTCTGCCTCCCGTGCACCTACTTCAATACCTCTGTCTGGGCGGAGAGAATGCAGGGAACATCCACTATCTGAGGGATTTTATGTTTTTTTTTTTTTTTCTGTAACCCTGTGGGAATTCTTGGGACTACAGTTGATGCTCCCCAACCTGAAGGAACCTTCCCCATTACTGACGAATATTTGGCCTTTCTCCATTTCAGATTGATATCAGCAAGTGCCATTATTTAGTGGATTTGGACACCATGAGAGAAACACCCCGGGAGCCGAGATATTCGTCCAATAGAGAAGAATGGATCAGCTTGGCACACAGACCATTCCTTGATGCTTCCAGGTATGTGGCTTTAATCTTAGGATGTGTACTAGAGCTAGTACAGGTAGAAAATAGATTGTAGGGTTGTGTAACTGCCAGTCCTGGGCTGCCCTAAGGGCCATTATTTTCTTTTTAGTTGAACCCAAGGTATCTTCTGGATGTCTCTAGTTTCATGAGGAATGTGGAGGTGCTTTCTCTCTCAAGGAACCAGAAAGCGTAGTATATTCTGGATTCATCTAAATGAAGGGATCTGAGTGAAACTGATAGATGTGTTGAGGAAAATCAAATAGGTGAATTGGATGATTTTTTTTTGCAGCAAATTTCAGATCTCTTCACTGAGACTATTCTGACACTTTCAGGAAGATTCAGCATTTTTTGAGGATCTAGATGGTTTTTTTTAAAGTTCATGAGTAGATTAGAATCTAGTTTTTTGAAGTCTGTGCAATCTAAGCAGGGCTAGCATGTAGGCTGAGATGTTGACCTGTAAACCAAGTTGATCTTGGACATAAAACAAGAGCTGAGTTCTGAGAGCTTTAGGAGCTGAGCAGGTCACTGTGCTTTTAGAACGAGTCTCTTCAGGGACTTCTTGGGCAGTAACAGTTGGAAAGGCAAAGGAGTGCTTGGGGGGGGGGGGTAGAAGGAAATAGGAAGGCATCTGAGTTGGAGAGCAATTTTCAAAAATAAACATTGAACCACACTATCCTGTGGTTTCTTGTAGCCTAAAACCACTCCCTTCAGTATCTGCTGCAGAATTGATAGGAATAATGTTTTCACATCATAGGAAATAATGCTTCTCTTTAACACATATTTTAAGAATTTTTAGTTGACAATAGATACAAATATTTATGGGGTATTGTGTCATACTACAATGTATATTCAGTGTTTAATGATCTGTTCATGATTTTTAGTGTTCCCCCCCTTTTTTTGTTTTGCAAAATCTGCAGATGACAATATATTTTATGCATCAAATATAGGTAATGTGCATGTGCATAACAAGTCATGTACCATGGCCTGGGGCAAATCAAAGATGAGGCTGGGGTTTAGAAAAGGACATGTTCTGAGGAACATAATTAGAAACTTGTACTTCAACTAAAAACAATTGATGATTTCAAGAAAGGACAGATATCAATGTTTGAAATTGACTCCAATGTGGAGATTGGGCTGAAGGTAGTTAATTAAAGTCCTGGAGGCAGCTTGACCAAGGGCACTGTCAGTGAAACTGAAAAAAGCTGATAGAATTTGATGGCTCATAATTGGATTGAGACAACAGTAATCCCCAAATTTCTAGCATCAGCAATTAGGTAAGTGAGTGTGCAAGGAAACTGAGTGCTAGGGGAGGAAATAAGACATTCATTTGGGTGCATGATAAATTTTGGATGCTTGCAGCTCTTTGAAGAAGAAAAACTTGGCAATTTGATGAGTAGTGGTACTAGAAACTAGATGTCTGAGAAGTGACACCGAGAGCCACAAAGTATGTGAGCTCACAAGGAGTAGATGGGATGAAAGCAGAATCCAAGATAGAATTCAGAGAGATACCAAGCTAAGGGATGCTCAAAGCAAGAGGCCAAAGAGAAGTATTGAAATAAACATAAAGAAAACCAAGTAGTAATTACACTGTTCCTAAACAAACTGTGGAATGAGTTAAGAAGTAGTGAAACATGGTAAAATCCTGCTGAGGATGAGTGAGGGGAAACAACAAGGCATTCACCAGAATAGCATCAAGTAGGTTTCCTGTGCCCTTGGCACGAGTTCATAGACTCTTGGAAAGAAGTAAGATTACAGTGGACTGCAGAATGTATGATGAGTACACAAAGACAGTGAGCATGAGTAACTTCCCTTCCATCCCACTGTTAGGTCATTTGTTTATTTTTTTAATTTTTATTTTGAATCTTGAATTTTATGATACAATTTCATTGAGTCTAGGATTTCCACCCCCACCCCCACAAATTCCCACACCCCCTGACTAATGTTCCCCATATTGTTACAGTAGTATAGTCCTTCATAAGGAGTTGTATTTTAAAAAATTATTATTTACAAAGCAAACTTACCAAGTGAGAAAGGAGGAGACAAAGTAAGAGGGGAGAGCACAAGCAAGCACTTGGATCTGGTTTGCTTGAGAGAGAAAGAGAACAAGATTACATTTCCAGGTTTGCTTCTATGTGCTCGCTTCAGCAGCACATATACTACATTTCCTGGTTTACTTCTAAATGGCTGCAACAGTCAGGGCTGGGCCAGGCTGAAGCCAGAATTCTCTAACTCTATCCAGGTCTCCTACGTGGGTGGTAGGGGTCCATGCATTTGGACCATCTCCCACTGCTTTCCCAGATACATTAATAGAGAGCTGGATTGGAAGTGCTGCAATTTGTGCTGGCACTTGTATGCGATGCTGGTGTCACAGATGGTTCCTTAGCCCAATAGGCTACAGTGCTAGCCCCTAGTATTTCATCTCTTTAAATATTTGTAGTGTCTTTGTGGTAAGAATCTGTGAACTCTTCTTTTGGCTCTTTATAGAATATATAGTGAATTGTCAACTAAAGTAACTCTCCTGTGCAGTGTAACACTGGAACTTACTCCTCTTATCCAACTGTATTTTGTACCCTTTTTTGTACCCACTCACTGTCTGCCTTCATCCCCTTCCCAGCCTCTGGTGACCACTGCCCTGCTCCATGCTTATATGAAATCAACTTTGTAGCTTCTCTGTATGAAGAAGAATTCAGGTGTCTATGTGCATGCCTTATTTCACTGAGCACAGTGCCCTCCTTCTCCATCCATGTCTCTGCTAATGACCAGATTGCAGTAAAAATATCCTCAAAGACTTATTTATTTATTTCAAAGGCAACATTACAGAGAAAGGGAAATCTTTTATCTGCTACTTCATTGCCTGAGTGGCCACAATGGCTAGGATGGGGCCAGGCCAAAGCCAGGAACCTGGAACTCCATCTGGGTCTCAGATGGGTGGCAGTGGCCACATTCTTATGTCATCTTGTACTGTTTTCCCAGCTGCGTCAGCAGAGTTTGATTGAAAGTGAAGCAACTGGGACTTGAACTAGCATTCACATGGGCTGGTAGCATTGCTTAATCCACTGTACCACAATGCTAGCCTGATGATTTCTTTTCTATGGCTGAATAATATCCCCTTCATGTATCTATCACATTTTCTTTATCCAGTTATCTGTTACTGGGCATCTTGGTTGATTTTGTATCTTGATTGTTATGAGTAGTGCTGCAGTAGTAAGCATGTGAATATTGATACCTCTTTGATAGCTGATTTCATTTCCTTTGTATATATTCCCAGTAGCAGAATAGATCCATCACATCAATAGTCCTGTATGTAGTTTTTGAGAAGACATCATAATGTAAACTTATTTACCTCCCCATCAACAGTCTCTAAAAGTTCTCATTTCTAAGAATTTCCCTTTTTCTACATTCTTGCCTACATTTGTTATTTTTTGTCATTTTGATTGTTGAAATTCTTGATGGGATGAGATGATACCTCACTGTGGTTTTGATTTTCATTTCCTGGTAACTAGTAATGTCTAACACTTTTTCATATACTTTTGACCACATTTTGTTTTGAGATATTTTTAGAGTGATTTCAAATTCATAGCAAAACTGAATAAAAAAAAAAAACAGAGATTGCCCTGTGTACTCCCTGCCACCACACATACGTAACTTCCCCCATTATCATGATCACTACCAGACTAATACTTAGCCTGTTAGGATTCACAGAATACATTGATACATCATTATTACCTAAAGTCCATAGATTACTTTTTGTTTGTATGGTTCTGTGACATAACATCATGTAAAACCACTATGCTATACAGCATATTTTCATCGCCCTTAAAAAAAAAACAAACCTGTGCTCAACCCATTCTTCCTTGCTCATAGTCTCTGTCTATCCCTGAAATTTTAACCATCTTCATAGTTTTACCACTTCCAGAATATTGTATACAGAGAGTCTGAAGCTTATCATGAGTGGACTTAACAGTTTTTTAAAAATGATTTCTTTATTTGAGAGGGAAAGGCAGAAATCTTCCATTCTCTGGTTCATGCCCCACATGAACATAACAGAGCCTTTCTGAAGCCAGGAACTTGGAGCTTCTTTGGGGTTGACCACATGGGTGTATGGCCTAAGCACTTCGGCCATCTTGGACTGCTTTCCTAGCACATTGGCAGGGAGCTGGATCAGAAATGCAACAGTTGAGACTTGAACTGGCACCGGCATGCAGAAGATTATTCTGATATACCACTGTCGGCCTTTGATGCTATTTTAATTTCCATTTCTCTTAAGGATATATAACGTGCAGCATTTTTTCATATGCTTATTTGTTATTTTTTTAATACTTGAGGTGCTAAAGTCTTTATACCATTTTTTAAAATCAGGTTATTTTCCTATTATTGACTTCTTTCCATACTTTATTTTTATTTTTAATTTAAAAATTCTGTATTTTCTGTTTCTTCTTCCTGTATCTGGGGGAAGGAGAGATAAGAGGAGAGGCCATGCTCAGCCTCCTAACCACCCCAGTACTGGGGATGGGAAATGGCCTCCTGATACCAACCCTGGGTCCTGACGTGGCACATGCTTCAAGGGTTCTGCTCAAGTGGTTTTAATAGGTCTGTAATGCTGTTGATCTCACTGATTGAAGAATGAGGGAACACTTCCAATGTCCAATGGCTGACACAGTTGACCTTAGAATCTTCATTCACCCAAATTTTTGCTGTCATAACCCAGCCAAATTGCACAACTCTTTGTCCAATTTGCTCTTTTCTCCTTTTTGTTCTATGGTACCAGATGTCCTCTGCAGGTTCCAATGGATTGCCATGTCTTCCATGTGTATCCAGGCCTGCCATCCATTGCTCTATCTTTTCTACTGAGGAGGACGAGTTTTTGTAGGCAGGCCCAAGGGCCCAGGCCAGGCAACCTGGACCCCACCAGAATCCCCCAGCCCTAGGGCTCACATTCCCAACACCCACTGCACTGAGACTGGCATAGCTTGCCTCACCTCAGCATCCACCAG